ACTTACACCTTTGCTTTCTTAGTGTAATAAATACTTTTATTAATTGGCCGCTCTACTATACAACTGTCCACGTTCACACTCCAAGGAAAACTAAAATATAATTCGAAACTATTCTTATGTTGAGAACAAACGAAACTTTTCGATTGCTAATTTTGAGTTATCAGGAAACTACCCATATCCTATAACTAACTCGGTTTCAATACCTAACTTGGTTATTTCGGAAGATGATGTTTTCAAAGGGTTAAGTTCTCTAAAATACAGTTGTTCGCCTGGACCTGATGGAATTCCATCATGTGTACTTAAATCTTGCGCTGTCGAGTTGTGTGGTGTGATCTCAAAGATTTTTAACATGTCCTTGTGTTCAGGTGTTTTCCCTTCATGTTGGAAGAGTAGTTTCCTTATTCCTATCCACAAGAGTGGAAGTAGACAATTTGTTGAGAACTACAGAGGCATAGCCAAGTTGAGTGTCTTGCCCAAGTTGTTCGAGCGTATTGTGACTCAGCATTTAGCCTTTGCCATTAATTCGTATATTTCTCCGCACCAGCACGGCTTTCGGAAAGGGCGATCTACAGTCACCAACTTGTTAGAGTTTACCTGTCATGTTTTCAAGGCTTTTTCTAGTGGCTCTCGCACAGATGTTATTTACACTGATTTAAGCAAAGCATTTGATTTGGTTAACCATAGACTACTTATCTTTAAACTCCAAGCCTCTGGTTTCCCACCCTACTTAGTGAAATGGATAAGCTCTTATCTGCACAATAGATCCTTCAGAGTTTTGTTTAACTTCATTAGCTCGGATGAATTCCCCGTTACGTCTGGCGTACCTCAAGGAAGTCACTTGGGTCCCATTTTATTTAGTTTATACATTAACGATCTCCCATCGGTGGTTAATTCCAGCCAGATCTTAATGTATGCTGATGATGTGAAACTGTTTTCTTCCTTCTCTGTTGAATCGCAATCACATCAGCTTCAAGGTGATTTAGATAATTTTGTTGCATGGTGCTCTTTGAATCTCCTGCAACTAAATCTGAGTAAATGTAAGAAGCTTTCATTCTCAAGAAGAAAGTCATTCATTACTCAGTATTTCATAGATTCGCATAAGTTGGAGGACGTCGATTCGATTACGGATTTAGGCGTCCTATTTGACCATAGGTTACGTTTTAACTTGCATATTGAGCTCTCGATTAGCAAAGCTAGGTCCGCGCTTGGTTTTATAAAAAGGTGGTCCAAAGAGCTTGATGATCCCTACATTACGAAAAGGCTGTACATGTGTTTGGTTAGACCCATACTCGAGTATGCCTCAGTTGTGTGGTCTCCTTCATATAGGTGCTACGTAGATTCAATTGAATCAGTTCAAAAGCAATTCTTGCTGTTTGCCCTTAGAAATTTGGGTTGGGATCCGATTGCCTCTCTTCCTCCGTATGAAAATAGGTTGCTTCTGCTGTCCCTACCGTCTCTTGAGAAACGTAGATTTGTTCTTGGCGTTTCCTTTCTAATTAAAGTAATAAATGGTGCTATTGACTCGCCTTCATTACTTGGTGAAGTAAGCTTCAATGTCCCTAACCGCTTCTCTAGGCACTTTATCTTGGTAAAGCTTAATCAGTGTAAATTTAATTATGAGCTGTTCAATCCGCTCAGAGTCGTTTGCAAGAACCTAAATGACGTCTACCACTTATTCTCGTTATCGGACTCTTTAAAGTCCATTAAAGCAACATTGCTTAATACGCGCGATTTACCTATGTCGTATTTAAACTAGCTTTTATCCTTAAAAAGTCGTTACGTTTCGAAAGTGAATTATTGTCAATTTATTATCGGTTGCCAGGCTTATGCATGTTTGCGATGGCTTAGGGGTTCATTTGCAATTTGATCCTGTACCGGTTGTAAGTGTGCTCCTATGCTGATAGTGTACATGCTTTTTTTTCTTTTTTCTTTTTCTTTTTTTTTTTTCTTCTTATTTGTTTTATTATGCTTATACTCAATTTTATTGTTAATTAATATTAGTTTTGCATTAAGAGCCTATTGAACTCGACTGCTATTTGTTTAGTTGAGTTTCTAGTATAAGTGGAATAAAATAAATAAATAAATAAAAAGCGCGTCTGTGTAGCTTGAGCCTTTTTTGAAAAGGGGGATTTACCCAAAAAACACACGAGAAAAGTAGACGCGATGAGTAAGCCCTTATGCATTAGACGTTTATGCTAAAAAATGTACCTGTGTGTGTCGCAACGAAACTACAGTAACAGAATAGTTTTTATCTCTTTCTTCTTGCAAAGCATGCGTGAAGTTAACAACATGTGGTTTGCCGTGATGTGAAAGCAAAGATGCTAAGCTGTGTTTTTAACACGTTCGCGATACAGCAGACGTTAGAAACTAAAGATACGATCCGATACCAAGACAACATTTGGCCAAAGTTTCGCAGATTGAATTTCGATCCATTATGATTTTTTTGTGTTATTGGTGTGGCAAATAAATATTGAGGTTCTTTTTGGACCCAGCTTTGAGCAAATGATTTAAAACTGTTTTGTGGTCGATCTTTAGCTCTTGGACGATATTACGATTGCTAACATGCCTGTCAACTGGATCATTTCTTCGATTTCATCGACATTTTCGACCTGTGCGAGGTGTATCTTTATCATCAGAAACACATGAACGGAATGGACGAAACCAATATTACACGCAATTGGCTATTGCAGTATTGGGACCTTAAAAACCCTTTACAATGGCTGGCTTGCATTTTCGTCTTTACCAAAGAAAAAGTGTAAATTGTACCGAACATTCTCTTTGCTGAGTTCCCTTTTTAACACCCTGTAACTGAAAGGACTACGTAAAAAATAGCAAAAGCAATTTTTTTGGTGCGAAACGTCACCTTTCCAACGAGCATAAATCTGAAATTGTTGGATTGATACTTTCCAAGATATCGATCGCTTTCGTGCTTTGATCGGGTCATCTTTAGCCTACTTTTCAGAACTTTATATCTTCTTCTTCTACTATCATCCTACAGTAGTTCGCTTTCTACTATAACTGCCGCCTGCTCTTTTTTAACAAATTTTGCAGTGTACATTGTAAGTTTGGACATTTCATATCTATATCAGTTGGACAGTTAATGTTTTCTTGCTTTGTTGTGAACTGATAGTTTCTACGCTCGAAAGATCGATGTCCTTGTCGTTGCCAATTAAAACGTAATGTGTGGTAGGCTGTAAAGCTCAATAAGTTTGCTTTTGCAAAAACAACGATTTGTACAGACAGACAAGTTTTGCATCTATCCCCATAGAGTTTGAGGTTTTTTTTATGTTGTTTATATATTTTATACATAGACATATTATATATACTGTTAAAATTTACACTTTTTACATATATTTTTCTTAGGGCTAAGTTTTTTAAGGTGAAGAAGTCGTACAGGAAATGCCAAAAGATACCACGCCAACTGAATGTAGGTTTTGGTCGCTACCCTTTAATTTATGTATTCGCCTTCATTTTACCAGAAAAAGCATTTAAGTATAAGAAAACAAAGCATTTAAGTATAAGAAAACAAAGCGGAATAAATGGATATTAGTAACAATGTAGGCAGACTTGCTTTGATTTCATCAACAGAAACGCTAAGTACGTCGAGCGGTTTTTAAAGCTGAAGCCTTTTTTTCAAAAAAAATAGTAGATTTGCTAGATAAAACAGTCGCTATAACTTCGCTAAGCTTGTGGGACTCTATGAGCCTTTTGCTGCTTGTGGTGTTTGTCTCATTCTCTGTTTGTGTGACACTTTATTGAAATTGTTCGATAAGTACAGAGGATCTCACTCACTCATTTAAAGCATTCTCCGATACTGTTGCCTTGACTTCTCTTAGAGTAAAGTCTTTTCGATTATTGCTATTGTGATTTGTTTTGCAGCTTTTCAAAAGGCTCTTGTTAGGCTTAGCCATAGCATAACTCATTGTAGACCGATTAAGGCCATCTTAATAAAGTTATTTTGCGACACCCTCGTCAAAAGCAATTATACGGGGGCTTAACTTTCAAGGATAGTCCTTAACGCCTACAGAGCTAAATTTAATATCTCAAAACTTTCAAGCCTGGAAAAGAATTCAGACTATATATATATACGAACAGATAGTAAATTTATCTGGAACCTCGAAGTATATCATCTAACGAAACTTTTGAACCGAACCTGTTACTCTTAACTAACACTTTTTACAATTATGTCTTGACAACATTTGAAGTAGTTGCTTCAGCTGACCTTTGGAAAACAGTAGTTTCTTTATTTTTGCCTCTTTTTAAAGTTTGTCATCAGATCATATAAACGATTATCTCACATCTGCTCTTTCGTACACTTCTCTTATCTACCTAACGCTTCTGCTCTCCTCGACACATATCACGCTATGAAATTCTCACTGCACTGTATCACCTCAAAATCATTTGCAAAATAAACATAATCCTAGAATACATTAGTGCTGAAATAAAATGGAATAAGCAAATAACTGGAAAACTTGGGAAACGTCGTTTTGTTAAAAGCCCTTTGAGTATGCTACAGCTTCTTGCAAAATAATCGCTTCTACGCGGGGAACACACAAAACATATATACTACTACAGTCAAACCCTCTTTCCTTGTTACGGTTCAAAAATAGAACGTCATGTTCGCATTGAACCTGTTTTACTCAGCACAGTGAATCGTCTGCTGTTGATTTGCTGAATTAAAGCAGAAGGAAAGGAAAAAGAAGTTCGAGATTTCAGAAGCGGTTTTTTGTCAGCATATAGGTGAATATATCAGTTACGGTCTTATGTAATTATCTCCACTTAAAATTTAATAAGTATAATAAACATTTCAAAAATTTTCTTCAACCATTTAATAAAATCTACATTTATTTGAAAATATTTAATATAAGAAAAAGGAAAAACAGTTCAACATTTAGTTTTCAAATTCTTTCTTTGTTCGCAACGAATACTTAATGAGAGGCAAAGCAATTATGAAAAAATATCACAAAAACATGATATAACCTAGAAAATCTAGCTTACTGCTGGGCAAAAAATTGACAAAAGAACGGTTTATAAAATAGAGAATTATTTTTTCTTTTTATATTCTTCGGTAAACCCATACGTTTCGGCCTCTGAAATGAGAGTTCATAAATTTTAAGTATTCAACCAAAAGTCTTAACATTTAAAGGAAAGCACACATACTTTCATAGTCCGCTTCGTACCAATGGAATAATTCATACGTTAAAGAGCTGTGAGGCATTTCCCAAGAAGCGGTCCCTTCATATTTAGCTGGCAAACAGGATTTATCGATATGTTTGTGGAGCGATTTGAAATCCTTGCCGTGAAAGTGAAGCTGCAAGCAAAATGTTACGTCAACGCTTACAAGATGTCTAGCATATGAACTTTTATTTTACCCGTTTCCTTAATTTCTCTTTAATGAAAGGCTTAAAAATGTTGAATAAAATGTTGAATATATACGAGTTATTGACAATATGCACCGCCTTTAAACGTAAGCATATGCACTCCTGTATGTAGTCTAAAAGCATTGCGGCAAAGGAAGGGGTAAACTGCATAATCTGGGTCATGGATAAATCCTCCATATCGATAATAACGAGACCACCGCAAATTTGCGATAAAGGCTCTATCATGGCACCCCAAATCATTACTTGTACACCACGGAATAAATCGATCAGAGGAACTTGAGAAGGCTTCCATTTTTCTATCGTATATACAAATGTTTTGCATTAAATTGAAAATTCAATTGACTCGTTTACTTACTTCCGGCGTGTATCGTTATCATTCTGCGACCATGTTGATCGCGAACCGGCAAGAGTTGCAACACATCAGCGTCAAAGACATGCTTCAATTTACTTGGAAGAAGATCTCTACAGGCTTCAGGATGTTTGATTTTCGTATTAAAAAAATTCTTTATCTAAAACAAAAAAAGAGAGAAAAGATTCTTTACCTAAAGGAGGAAGAGAGGAAACTGAATGACCACTTATGTTTTCATCTTTTTATTTATTACGATGAAAATATAATATTTACATACTACGCGTAGTAGTTGCTGAAGTCGCTAAAGATAATTTCCTTTATATGTCGCGTTTTCCAAGAACAACACCATACCATAAAATTATTTAAGAATGTAATGATCAGGTTGTGTACAATAAACTTTTCCATATATGTCATGAAAATGGCTGAAACGGCGTACTTTAGTAAGCAAAAAAGTCGCTCGAACTTATATAGCCCTGGTGCAAAGATCGCGATCATTTTACACTTTAGGCGTAGTTTTTGCGATTTCAGCTATCAAGAGGAGCTTGTACAGAGAGCTTTTAGGTGTTTCAACGAAAATTTTAAGAAATATTAAAAATGCATTGCCAAAAGATTTGTTGGTTTTGGAGATCCTTTCTTGACGTTTGCCGGAGTTGAAAGTCTGCCTTATCCCCCCCTTCCCAAATCATAAGTGAACCCAGCGCTTCTATCCCAGACATTTGCGACAATTACAAGAAACTGAGCTAGGATTCATATAGATTGACTTGTCTCTGGAAGTCGTTCGGCCCGAACCATTTTCAATAGCGTTCGTCTTTTCGTCAAAACACATCTGTGTACCAAATTGCTTCAACATATCTTAAAAGTGTGAACAGAAGAAACACATGATACCGGACAGACGGACAGACAAGTTTATATCGATTCATAAAATGGTTATGGTGAACCTATCTCAAATCTTGCTAATTATCGTACTGTCCTGGTACGTTTTTAAATAATATGTGAGTACATTCTTGCTATGTCTACGAACCCTTTTTATGGCGCTTTCTGGATAATAATGTGCAGGCCTTAAATAGATTTTCAAGTACGTTTCTTCTCTAGGTACTATTAGATGTTTCTCTTCTGTAAGATAAAAAACCAAATTTTTTAATAAAACTTTTATAACATTTTTTTTCTCCTAAAATGTTTACAAACATTCATACCATCTAGTAATTGATTAATTTTAGCGAAGGATTCTTTCATTATATCTGGAGTTTCCCTCAGTTCTTTGCGGGCTACTTCCAACGCCCAATCTGGCGCCTCTTGTCTATCCATGCACATCCTCACAGTACCCAAATCAATGTAGGGAAAGTTGTCCTCATCAAAGGCTAGTTTCCCTGGTTGGACCATCTTGTTAAGGTATCCTGTTTTCCTTCACTTTAATAACCGGCAGTAATCTTTAAAAAAAATAACATATTTTACAAAAATTTACCATAAAACTATATAAATAATTAACAATCAATTGTCTTAAACAATTAGTTTAAATATTCTCTTAAAGGGTAATACTTTCTTAGTCATTTAAAACCTTAAATGCATACCTCCTAATAAAGGAGAGGAACTGCAATTAATTACCTCTATGACAGTCATGTCTTAGTTTATACAAAACTTATGTAAGAAATTGTGGGAGAAAATTCTTAATGCTGCCCTTAGAATATTATGGATCTTAAGCATATATCGAGGACGGAAACCTTTAAAAGGCTGGCTTCGATGGCTAAATGAAAACGACAAGTACTCATTTTTTTCCACTTACTTCTCGTTACGCTCTACATCTTAGTTTCAAAAGGAATTTGAATAAAACAAAATCTTTAGCGTTTCTCTGCTTTGTTATGACAAATACGAAGGAAGATGTCGAGAATTTATATCAAAGAAATTGTGAGCGTTTTTGCCCATAATACATTCTACACCCTTCCGTCTAACATTCAATTTTGAAGTGGACTAAATCCCTTACCCTAAGCACTAAGTAACTAAGCATTTGACGTTCCTTTACTTATTATGAGAATCCTTATTGATTTTTCTACAATCTATAATGAAATTCTTGTGCTTTCGACAGGACTATCCATTTAAGACCTGCGCAGTGGTTGCGAAAACAATATATTGAGAGAGAGCATTTTTATTCAATATTTTGACATACAGCAAAAGTTATTTTACACAAATAATACAATGATAAATTTTTTAGGATGTAAGGGTCAGTGTGCATCTAAAGTCTTTTCTCTCATCGAACGCATACTGCAGTCTACTTAATTAATAATTGTTAAATGAATACAACAACTCTTCAGTCATCTAAAATGTAGATCTTTTTGACTTTCTTGAAAATCAGCCTCTCTTAACGTCGATCAAATGTGTTTTCATAAATGACCCATTGCTTTACCGATTGCGAACATACCAAGAATAATTTTCTTTTTTACGCCCTACATTACATGTTGTGCAGAGTATGTATGTAAGTGACAGTCAAAGAGATAACATTTATTCTACCAATCTTTGGAGAATAGTTTTCTGTACACTGACGCGTCTTGGCCCAAAAATGATTCCTTTTGAAAATGAATTGAAATCGAATAATTTTGCGATCGCTTTCCATATAACGCCTTATTTTGAACAAATTTGGTGATTCCGAATCGATCGATATAATAAATGATGGGTGCATCTCAAGTTCTTCTGGATGTTGTATACATTCGCACAAACTTTATATAGCCTTGCGTCAAAAACGGCCTAGAGTATAAAAAGTCACCACATGAAAAAATCAATGACCCAACCTCTCTAAAAAAATCTCTAAGTAATGATGCAGCGATTTTCTAAGTTGATATGAAAAACTTTGAATCTGATAGCCCAATTTTTTTAACTCTCTACCGTACAGCCGTTCTTACAAAATATGGACTCTTATACGGCAAAAAGGTCAAACTTTGGTGCACTATACGAATTTGAACAATGTAAGTCTATTTTTTTTGCTTCCTTTCATATAAGAGCTACCAAGAAAAGTATGCTTTAAATAGAAAGAAGGGAGACATAATTTTTGGTACTTTGTCATGAATATAAATGAATTATTTTACACGACATGGCGTAGAGTGTTTAATAACCGAACATAACACATACAAAACCTTAATGCGGCTCCTACTGACCTGCTTATCCCTGCTACGTCGCAGAGGATTTTGGGAAGTAGAAAAAAGCTTCAGAAACACTGTAAAGGATTGGTGTACATCGATTAAATAGTGTCCGTCTGCTTATCTGTGCAATGTTTGTCGTAGGCACATCCTCAAATCCTCCTTATCCCCAAATTTGGAAGAAACATTATCAGTTCTTGTATGCAGCTTGGTAAGAGGAAAGTGAGAGAAATCGTAATCGGCGGCGTAAACTGAGAGAACCTCTAGTTGGAAAAAAAATAGGACTGTTTGTTCTTTACTCATATTCCACAACGCAAATGGAAATAGCCGGTCCCACTTTTTACAATGTAGTAGAGTATCGCAATTCAATTTTTTTCTTTGAGAAAAGTGTGGTGAGTACACAGGGTACCAATAAAATTACACTATTTTCTCTCGCTAGAACAGAGTTTCAGAGGCGCCGACTTGTTGAAATGGTAAATGTGCCAACAAAAAAATGTACCATAATAGTCGATGATCTATCCCCGGTTACAACAGCTTCTGCCAATCTTTCATACATATTCTCATCTAATTCTCTTTCTATCTACACGAAATTTAACTTCACACCAGTTAAAAAGGAAAAAAAATCGCTGTTTACACGAATTGCTGTTACACCCACTATCTGTATCTTAAAAAAAAGTAAGAGAAGTTATATTCAGCGGCGAACGAATCTTTTATACCCATCACCATCATCCTAAATAGGACTAAACAAGAAAAACTCAACTTTTTATATTCTACAACATTGTGTGGGCATGGCTGATTTGTCCTCTCTGCAGAAATCATGTGGAAATTGTTATTACATGTATGCTACAAGGTAGGAATTGTCAACGAAAAAGCCAGAAAACAGAGATGTTCTCAGCTACTAGCCTGCGGGAAGAAGCTCCAATGTCAATAGAATGTTTACAATAGACATTACAAAGACGGACAGACGGACATACTTAAGCCAATGCAGTATTGGTTTATTGATCAAGAATAGATACAGTTTTCAAACAAACGAACAAATGACAAAATGACTATGAGCCTATTCTTCGGTAGTGGGCATAAAAAGATTTAACTGTAAGTGATTGTCAATTTTTCTATAGATAGTAAATGTAACTTATGGCAAGTGCTGCACTAAAAATATTAAAAATATGAAAAAGTTCGAACAAGTTCAAGAGCAATGCCGGACAAAGTTCAACGATATCACTTATTAATATTATTCATTATTGTGTGCAAGCAACTCGTAAATATGTTTACAACTAATGCGTAACAAAAATACTTTGACGAGGTACTAAATGCATTATTTTTCAACGACATTTCCCTCACATTATTTGTAACGTAAAAATTGAAGTTATAATCAACAAAACGCACATTCACCCTTAAAAGTAAATCAAGGTCCTTGTATTCGGACGCAGAGTTGTCCATAAAACTTAGCTTTAGGCAAAAACGAAAACTATATGACAAAATATTTGGTCTTGATAGCTAAATACCGGAACAAATTATATCTTAAACCAATTAAGTCGATTTATTCCAAATATTTTTTTTGAGTTTTATTAATTATTTGATTTATATAAAAAATATTAAAAAAAAAAACATTTTTTTATTTATTCCATAAAATTTATAAGAGTTTATAAATTCATTTTAAACAAGTATTTAAATTTGAATCCCCACATACTTGTTGAACTTGCAATTTTCTGGGTCACACCAACAACTTGAGGTCATTAACTAACATATGTATTTCCTACAGTTATCCTATACGTGCTTAAAACTCTTCAATCTGAACTCAACCTTGCATTTACCATAAGTACATACATATGTATATAACAAAGCACTCCCATCACAACTTTTCCATTTATTATTAAGCAAACGATACTCAATGTAGCTTAAAAAAAGAAGAAAAAAAGAGAAGAAAAAACGAAAAACTAAAAAATAAACATCATCAATTTTTGCCGTCCAAAACGGCTGTTTTTACATTTTGCTTTTTTTTAAATTTTTTTTGCCCACAAGATACTTATGAATAAATGGTAAGGTCAAGGTTTAGTAAACAGATTTCGTAAATAATGTGAATAAAATGATTATTTTTTTTAATACAAACAAAAAGTTTGAAAGTTTACGCAGACACTTGTCTTGTCTGCATATAGTTTTCCCATTCATCCATCTTACCTTTGTTACTCAAATGGTAATGCGAAGGCCATAGTTTTGAGCGCTCTAAACAACTTATGTATAATTTGTTTAACAAGAGACACTTCAATGTAAGAATAACTTGGTGCGGAAATAAAACGCCGCACCTGTAATTTGTGTAAATTTGCAGATACCCGAAGAAAATTGGACAGCCTCAGTGATAGCCTTCCCTATGGGAAGGAAGATCTACAAGCATTTACATAACATCTTTCGCTTCGAGCAATGCCGACTCTTGGAACCACCTCGCCACCTGCCTATTCGCTCACTATCTAAACGCTTTCCAGAGGAACCCTTAGCTCCCTTAGCTTAGTTTCATGTCACAATTTATCAAAAGTCATGTTTCGTTTGAAATGTTTGATTTCCACTCGAATTCGCGAAGAGCGGTCCAAATTTGGGAAGATTGGTTTTTAGTGGAACGCTTCAGTTATTTTCGCCATAATATTTTCAAAATCATACCATGAACGGACTTAATTTTCATACGAACACTTATAGGGGCTGAAGGCCAGAAATCCTATTTATGTGATGCAAATTTGATATAGTGAGTCTTTATGTCAAATGTTGAAAATATGGAAATTTTTACTTGGTGTCTTGAAAAGGCTCACTGATCACATTAAAGCTGAGAGCTTCTCCAAAAGTGGTAGTAAAGTTGCTTTCTTCTTGGGATCTGATACTTCTTCACTTACTTTCGTCATCAAATACCCAAAATTAGGTCTTCTTATTAATCTAATAAAAGGGCTTTGGCAAGCTTACGTGGTCAAAATTTAAAACAGGTATATATTTCTTCCCGAGGAAAAAAATCCAATATTAACGAGACTCACAATACTCAATATTCTTGTCTACTGCAATATGGTTTTTTTGTGTTTTTTTTATATTTGCCTATGTGTTCCCTAATAGTACAAAATAGTAAGATAACTTTTTATATTTCGACAATGGACCAGGTTAACAGGTACACATTTCTTATTGCGGGAAAAATTCCAATGTTAATCAGACTCACTGCCTGTGAAATACATAGCATATAAAAATTGAGGCTTGGTGCCACGTAAAGGCCTTGATAGGGGTTCTTATACAATATATGAAAGCTTTTTGAATATAGGGCTTTATATGGAGAGTGCTTGTAAAAATGGCATAATCCATCGTTACGCCAAATGTTGCGCCAAAAATTGCCAGTGTATAAAATTTCATTAAAATATCTCGAAAATTGTGACTTGTACAATGAACACATAACAACACAAATTTAAACCTGTTTGCTCATCCCATTCGCCATCATTAACGTTACGAAGCACAGAGCATTCCACTAGAGACGTGCAAGAGGAAGTATGTATTAAAGTCTTTAATATATATTTTTAACTTTTTTTTCTTAGGTATGCTTGTTACTCTACCTGTCGTACTTAAAATGAATTTACAATTAAAAGACGTTATTAGAATTTTTTATGGAGCTTAACAATGTCTAAGTAAATGCGCGTTTTTGTTGACGGATTGGGAAAATCCAGTTGCTTTTAATCACTTTGCGTATGTCAGTTGCTAGGGCTGCAAAGGTTCCTCGAATTATTATCACATGTTTTCAGT